TCAGGCTTTTTGACCGTGTTCTGAAGGTTGTGCTTCCTGACGTTTCGCCAGGAACAGAGGATGGACAGAGTTCCTACTCCAGTCCTCTGAAGATGCCGGCCACAGAGACTGGCAAAACGTCAGGAATAACAACCTTCATGACATAGCCAAAGAGCCCAAAAAACCCACAACAAAAATAATATACTGTACTTGGAGTTAATCCTCCTGTTCAAAGGCATGCAAAATCCCTGCACTTTATGACTGTACTGCTACTGCCACCTGCTGACAGGAAACATTCATTTGAAGTAACCAACTAGCCGCAGTAGTCTGTTTCAGGAAGTAAAATAGAAAGTGAAAATGAAAATCAGAGTATTGTGACTCATAGAAATACAGCACAGTGAATGAACTTGTCACTTTGACAGCATAAGCCTGCCTAACTTTTTAACTTAGGCCAAACAGGGCCTAAATTCACTTAAAGATATGCTAGCTATAATGGGTATGGGAATGGAGGTAAGCTTTTTGTGCTTGTACAACCATCCTTGTATTTATTGAACCAACAATAGCCAATGGAAGAGCCAGAAAAAAGAGGCAGGGGAGGAACAAAGCCTCTTCCGGCCGTGATTTATCTGCTGTGCCTTCACAAAGGATGTGACTACAATGGAAACCGAAACCAAATTGGCTTTGCTACAACTTGATTCACAGCCTCCGTCGCGGTCGTGTTTGAAATTGTGGTCAGTGCTGATCCATAGGCTGTGGGTTGATTCAGGAGATCAGTGTTCATACTGGATGCAATGCGATTCAAATTTGAGCCCACAACTTCCTGTCTTCCCTTCCTTCGTCTAGTCCCCCCTCTGCCAATCCCTTTATGCGTATAAATGTGGGAAGTAATGACAATGAGAACCTAGTGATAGGGTAATCTAGTCATATATGTAAGAAACTTAACAACTGGGACAGCAGTCAATGGAGAGGAAACAAGTGTGGGGAACATGGTCCGCCTGTCTTGAGCACTATGCTCCAGCTGTCTACATCACTGAAATCACTACATCACCTCCAGAGATTCATGCCTCATCTTTACGAAAATGTATCACAACTAATCAAACAGAAAAAAAGCCCATTCCAAATGTTCCAAGCTTGAAAAAGTAGGGAAAAACCCCCACCCCTCAAATGGCAAACAGAAAAAAGCCTATGTGGGAGCAAAAGGGTTGGACTGATTCAAATCAGCTTTTGCATGAGGTGGTCAATTTAAAAAAAGAAATCACCTGCTTTATTAGTGGAGCAAATCCCATTGGATTTGGCTATGTAGCTACAACCAAATTGAGGCTGGAGGGGCTTAGAGATAGCACAGCTGAAGGAACAGGCCTTGTCTTAGCTCAATTGGTCATCAGACATCTTGGTTTGCTAGGATTGTATCTTTGATCTTTAGGTGCCACAAGACACAATTGTTTTTAAACATTGAGAATTCCAAAATGCATTAATGGCACTGTGTGTGAGAGAGAGAGATGGAAAGAGAGTAGAAACCAGAGAGTGTGCCATCTCCTTTGCCAATGAAATCCACACATGTGGAAATAGATGAAGAGGGGAAAAGACCAAAGGAAAAGGAAAGTGGAGAGGAGATAAAGAGAAGGTGGAGATCTGCTTAGTGGAGGAAAAGGGGGGTGAAAAGGGGGGGGTTAGTGTTACCCATCTGAGAGGAGGATATAGAAGGGCAAGAGAAAAAGCGAGAAATTCAGAATTGAGAGAGGAGGAGAGAGGAAGAAGGAATGTGAGGGGGGAGAAGGAGAAAGTAGTAAAGAGGATGAGAGGATGAAAAGTCTGCTACACAATTTCCCAAACTTGAAGACCGGAGGGTTACTTCCAATTCCAGATCCGGCCAAGCAGAAGGACCCCACACTGGATCCCTTGGAATGGACGGTGGTGGTGTACACCAGGGGACAAGGTCGTTGGAGGAAGATGGTCAGGCCGAACTCTTCTTTCAACCAACCACCTCCGGAGAGCGACTGGGCCAGACACCCATGTTGTGGGACTATTTGCGCCACAAGGAGCACTGCACTGTGCAAGCCCCTGGATCGGGAGAGGTTTGGATCAGCCCCTTCATAAATCATTTCAGAAACGAGATTGAACTGTTGAAGACAAGTTATGACCAGTTAAAGGACATTAGTTTATTAGACCCGGTAGAGATAGTTGTTGATTCTCCTTTTGTTACGATTAATAAATCTGCTGATGCTATAAAGGAGTCTCCGTCAATTTTTCCTGCCTGACTAAGGGAACTGCCTATGAATCACAATGAACCTAGTCACAGGCACTAAGGCTCAATGCCCATTAAGGCTGCAAATCCATATCTACTGGGGAGATGCACTGCTTCAGTTGAACATGATATGAAGTACCTTGTCAGGTGGATATCATATTTTCCCAGTCAGTTACATCTGATATGCAACCTCCAGTGTTACTTGTGGTTAAATGTAACTCCTATGAAATACAGGTTCAGCCCAAAGGGATGAGATTAAGAAAGAGCGGGATGCAAGTAAGACATTTGAATCAGAGCAGGAGATCTGAAGAGGCTCGAGCTGCTATTGTCACTTAGACTTCTAAGGCCCTTGTCAACTTGGTCTAGATACACTTCCTGTATATTTGTGTTGCAAGGGTGGATCCACATAGTGAATTTATGTATTACAATTGATTTGATATTTTATTTTTAGGGTTTTTGAAGACTCTGCATATGGGGCTGGTTCTTCTGTGTTATGGATACCCAAACTAGTTGACAAAGATATTTTTAAATCTGAATTTGAATTCAAAAGAACACTTGAACTTTGCAATTCTACAAGCAACTTCTATATGGGTGCTGTTGCCTAGGACTTGGGTGCACAAACTATAGCATTTGGTTGTTGTTATAATTGCTCATTCCTGTATATAACTGTGAATAAGAGATTCATTTTGTGAAATTGCACTTGCAAAGTTTAAACATGTTACATAAACAGCAACATTTATTCACTATTATATTGCTGACTGAAACTATGGGTTTCAGTTGGCACTTCACACAAAGGCAAAGAAAAAAAAGTTTAAGTGATACAGCACATCAGCAACCATCTACAAGACGGAATAATTATGATGGCTGTGTCTGGGTTGTTTTTTTTAATGATGATGCCAATTTGAAAAATAATGATTTTAAGAAAATATGGATGTATTTTTGGAACATGTATTTCGGAGAGGGAAGGGGTATACACCGAGGGAAGAAACAATGAAATTTTGGAGTGAAAATGGATTGCATGAAGCGTAATGCTAGTCCTGAAGGTGATGGGAGCACATGGGTAATTGTATTTTATTGTTTTGTATTGTTTTTATAACTTCTTTTTGTGGTAGTAGGGTTATTTTGTATTAATTAAAAAAAGATGATGATGATAATGTCATTTCTTCTGCCCTTCTAGAGAAGAGCAGGGGAAGTTTTCAATTAGCCAATATCCTGAAGTGGCTCACTTATTAAGCCACTTCACAATACCAGAAATCGACAAAGGAAGGAGCAAGGCTGTGTTTTGTCTGCTCCCAGTGATCAGCGATGCCCTAGAAACAGACCAGCCAAGTGCACCTATGCACAAAAAACCAACAACCCACAGACACAAACAAAAAACAAGCCCTCCTAAAGGGCTCAAAAAGGCACAGGTAGGCAAATTATTAGTTTCTTCTAGATATCAGGTCTGATCAGATTCTCTACCCAAGAAAAGATAGCGTTGAAAGTAGGGACGGGGCCCTTGATGTGGCCACCGCCCACGGAGCTCATAGGCCCTTCTTCCTGAAAATCAATTTGCCATAAAAAGCACAACCCCAAAACTTCAGTCGCTGGGATGGTCAGGAA